AGTTTTTCCTGCGGGGACGGAGCGGGAACAGCAGTGGTAGTGAAAAGGTCATTCTAGATTTACATGGGGAGGGCCCTCTCCCTACCACGCGGAACATTAATTTATTTCTATTTTTAGTAGAGACAGGGTCTCGCTCTTGCTCAGGCTGGTCTCGAACTCCTGAGCTCAAACAATCCGCCCTCCTCGGCCTCCAAGAGTGCTAGGATTACAGGCGTGAGCCACCGCGCCCGGCCCTCAGAATTCTTTTCAACTCAGCCCTCTAAACATTTGCAAAAAAATGAGTTGGCACATGAGTTGAAAGTCATTTTCCATCTCTGTGATCAGGATGGGACAGGAGAATGTAAGGGAACCTCTATTCTACTCTTTACCACTCGTGGTCCCCCTATCAAGAATGCTGCCCAAGGCTCCCAACTCTTACCAAGGGCAGCACGAAAATGGGGCAGGAGCAGTGGGGGCACCAGAGGCTGGGGCAGCTCACGGAGAAAAAGTTTCAGGGCTCCGGTGACCACATGAATGTCATCCCACTCAGCACTGTCCAAATCTAACCGGCCTTCTGGAGGAAGAAAGAGGTACAGGGGGATTCAGGGCCAGAGAGACTCAGAGACTGAGAGATCAGAAGTTCTGGAGAAATCCAGTCAAGGCAGACCATAGGAATGCCTGCAATGTTCACAGTGAGGCAAGACAGCAAAGGCGAGGGTGGGGACAACCCTCCCAGGAGCGGGACATGGGGGAATCCATGGGGAGCAAGGAAGGCATGGGGAAGGCTTAGGGGTCTAAGGGGCCTTCCATTTAAGTACCTTGTCCTGGCTGTTCTGGGAACACGTACCTCCCATCGGAGGTGACCGCCCGCTCTGCAACATGTATGAGGAGAGATCAGGAGCTAAGACATGCAGTTCCAGCCAGACGGCCTCCCTGTTCTGCCAGCTCCCTCACTCACGACCCCCCATGGTTCTGAGGCACGCAGTTCTTAGTACTACCACTTGCCCACAAGCCTTCTCACCTCTGTCCACCAGAAAGCGAAGTTTCTGGACCACTGCCAAATTCCCACTCACCCGGTAAATGCCATCCACATCTAGACCTAGGAGATGAGGCAGAGGGAAGATAAGAACTGCTGTTTTAAAGTGAGTGGGGTGAGCCATCTGAGGGTGGAGAGAAAAAGCAGTAGGAAGACTAGGATGGGGGAGGTGAAGATTCTAGGCCTTGGCCTGTTAGAAGGGGATTTTGGAGTCTCTGGGAAAATGACCTCTTTTATCCACAGCAGCAATGCAGAGCCGTACAAAGCTGGGCACCGTGTCCCCTTCCCGCTGGCACAGTGATTCCAACTGGCAGCCAAACACCTGGTCTGGGGAGGCAGAGAGTGAGGTGGGAAGCCAGTGCCAGGGGCACTCATGGAAGCTCTTCTCAGCCACATGTCTTCACTCCCAATTAGGGCTAGCCCTTCTGCCTGCCTGTGCCAGGCCTGGGGAAGGAGGTATACCCCAACCCCAAAACAATCTGGCAAGGAAGTACACCTCTCCCACCCCTCCCCCAAACAATCTAGAGTACTGGGAAAAGCAGTGGTTTCAGAAGGCTGTGATCTATTAATATTTCTGGGAAGCTCTACTCTGAGCTTCGCTGCAGTTTTCTCATCCATGAAATGGGCTGATGCCCACATCAGGATGTAAAAGTGCTTGCAAAAACACTAAAGCGGGCATAAAGGAGCAGGGCCGCAGCTGGCGCAGCCCACCTCACCTCGGAGTAGACCCCGCTCCTGCAGGCTTTGCAAGGGCGGTCTCTTCGCAATAAGCCGCTTTAGTTTGTTCCGCACGCGGTTCTGTTCAGTGCCTTCCGGACCCCGACCTGTAGGAGGCAGGTAGAGTCAGAGCCTGAGAGCGGCCGGCGGGGTCCCGCCGCCCACGCTGCAGGCGCGGCTCCCACCACCCGCCCCTTACTGGAGCTCCGGCGGCTGCTGAGGCGCAGTAGCGGCTTGGACACCGGCTCCGACTCATCTTCTTCGTCCTCGCCTGCGCTCAGCTCCCCCAGCTCGGCAGGTCCCGAGCCTGACAAACGCAGCTCCAGGGGGTTCTCCCGATCCTACACCGGGGGGCGGGGCAGGGGCGGGGGAGGGGCGCCGGAGGCCGTGTCGGAGGTTGGAAGAGAAAAGAGAGAAATCTGCACCCCTAGCTGGACGCAAAGAGACCACAACCGGCTGCTGGGGTCCCACGTCCTAGCCCCATCCCAGGCCAGGGCTCTACGCCGGGACCACCCTGCCCCCACCGCCCTCTGACTCCTATTGTTCCTACCCTACTCCTTGGCCCGTGCCCGCTCCAGCCTCTCCCAGGTCTCCCACCCATCTAACCAGACGCTCGATGACTGCCCGCAGCGCGCGATGCCAGGCTCGCAGCTCGGTCTCGTGGTCCGACTGTAGCAGGAACTCGTGGCCAGGGACGGTGCGGATCTGAGGGGCCGGCCGGGAAAGGCTTGGGTCAGCAAGGAGGAGCATAGAAAGCAGGGAGGCCGAGTGGGAGATCCCTCGGGTCAGGTGGGGCTTTGGAGACGCCCGCTAGGGCACTCACGTGCAGGACATTGCGGCGGCTAGACAGGTGGCGGCCGTGCGCCAGGGCCGCCCCTCGCAGGTCCACGCTACTTTCTGGCCGGCTACCCGCTGGCCCCTGGCAATTAGGGGAGAAACTGAGGCCATGATGTTGTTTGCCTCACTGCTTCCCTCTCACCCAGTGGACTACGAGGAGGTGGGAGGCTTCCTCCCTCCTTTACCTTCCTTTACACCGCCCTCCCCACTCCGCCCACCCCCTCCCCGCCACAGCTGGCCTGAAGCGGAAAGAACCCCTCCAGCACCCCCACCCCCACTCACCCAGCCTGAGGAGGGCGCAGTCGCCGGTGGATCTCTGTAGAACACCAGGCTGTTACCCGCTAACACCACCCAAGACGGGCCCCAGTTTTTCCTGCGGGGACGGAGCGGGAACAGCAGTGGTAGTGAAAAGGTCATTCTAGATTTACATGGGGAGGGCTCTCTCCCTACCACGCGGAACCTAACAGCCCAGAACGCCGCTGCATTCCAGGGTCTCCTCACCTTAGCTTGCGCCCCCCTTGGGCAATCTTGGTCATGTTGAGCAGGCCGGACTTTTCCACCTCCTGGGAAGTGGAGGGAGTAGCATCTGTAAGTCACCCTGTGCCCTCCGCAGTGGCCCCGGGTTCCCCTAAGGGGTTTCCCAGGAGTGAGGTCCCTTAAAGTTGGGGGAAGAGGGCTGGGTAAGAGAGAATACCCAGAAAGAGGAAGATGTTTTTGAGGAGCAGGAATTGGGGGTGGGGCAGGGAGGATCTTAGCATTCACAAGGAAATGGGAGATTTACATGGGGGTCGTCCAGGAGCTGCGGCAGAGGTCTAGGCGTCTGCAAGGCTGGACGCTGCTCTGAAGGGTCAAGCTGGGAGGTGCGCCGGCGGAAGCCCGGTGAACCCTAGAAAGGGATTGGAGAAGCAGGTGGAGGAACCTTTAACTTAAGGGTCCCTGGCTGTATGAGGAAGAGGGGTACAGATGTGGGTGAGAGGCAGGGGTTGTGGTGGATAACGAGAAAGCCGTAACAAGTTGGCTTTTTCTGCATGTAATTGGGAGGTGGGAGGGATCTCACCTGTGGGCCAAGCAGTTCTGGGGTCCCTGTGTCAGATCCTGAGCCCTTTGCCTGAGGTTTCGGGACACCGTTGTCCCTATTCAGGGTCTGTGTCCCATCCATGGAGGCAGGGTTCTGGGTTAGGGGAGGGGGAGATAAAGCTACATCCGGCTGCCACCTCAACGCGCTCTCCACACCCTGCTCACATTTTGCTGATTTCTTCTGATCTTCTGAGAGCCCCAGAGAGAAAACACACTACCTTTAGGGCTCAGCAGGAAGTTAGAAGAAGATTGAGGGGACGACGGTCCAAGCAGGAGGGAAGGTCTCACCGACTCGCCACGACTACGGCGTGGGGGCTTCCAGGACTTGCAACCGGTTAGCGAATTGATGTAGAAGCAGCGTCCGGAGTTGGGGTCCAGGTGCTGCTCCCAAGCATCCAGCTTCTGCAGCAGGGGGCATGCAGGGCCCGGGGGTGGGGACCGGGGACAGCGGCGAAGGTCCACCAGGTTACAGTACACAGGAGTCTCTGACATGAGGGGCTGGGGTCCTGTCTGCCAGGAAAGGGGGAAGAAGGAGGTGGCTGTTCTGCCTGTGCCCCTTCCCAATCTTCTCTGCCTTACCGCCTCCTCCTCCCTCCCCCACCATTTTCTCACCACCAGCTCCTAGCTGGGGTGACCCAGGTACTGGGGGAGAAACTCCAGTCCCCAGCCACTTTTTAAAAATGCTCTCCCTGGCAGTCTGCTTTGCTTTTCTCCTCACTTCCTGTTGCCAACTTCCCTCCTCCCCTACCCCACCCCCACCCCAGGGCCACAGGAAAGGGGAACAGGCTTTTTTTTGGGGGGGGGTTGAGGGGAGTGCCCCACCCTTACATCCTGCAGGGTGAAAGAAGACAGAGAGGGTTCAGAGACCCCTCTGTTTGGGGGAGGAGGGGCCATTTTCCATTCATTAGTAAGAAAGAGAGGGAAGGGGCTGAGCCAGGGAGTTACATCTCCAGAAGGGACTTGCTGGTGACCTAGCTGGTAAGACAGAACACAGGAGAAACCCTGCCCTCTGCTGTAGGGAGTCAAGAGGAAGAAAGAAAAAGCATAGGGTTGTCCTTCTCTCAGTCCCTCTGTTGTGCCAGGTCCCCACAGGGCCTTTGCTACTTGCTGTCTTCATCTCCTAGCTTGCCTGTGGCTGCCTCTTTCTTCATTCAGGCAGCCATCACATCAGAGATGCCTCCCCAGACCACCTCAGCCACTCTCTACCACCTTAACTTTCCTTTTTGGTGCCTATCAGTACCAAGGGTTATCTTGCTTATTTGTTTGTGTGTTTGTCACCCCCAGGGGAGTCCGTTGAGGGCAGGGATGCTGTCTGTCCTGTTCTCCATGGGGTCTAGACAGGGCCCCAAAGTAAGTATCTTAGACTGTGCTTAGAAAGAGCTATGACTCACCATGCTGGAAGTGCCCTCTGACAGCAAGTCTTCCTGGGAGAGGGATCTTCCACTTGGTGCTTCCTGGGTGGGCTTCAGAAGGCTGGGCCTCAAATTAGCAACACTGGCACTTCTACACATTTTGAGGGGAAGAGGGGGAGGCTGCTCAGATGTAGCCTGGCCTCTGCCTGGGAGTGCCTGAGACAGGTGTGGCTCCTCCAAGGATCTATGAGACAACTTTGGCTCTAGAAACAGAAATGGGGGGTGGGGGCAGGTGATCAGAAGCATGATCTTGGCTGGATCCCCTATCCTGGAGGCCCACAGGGAAGACAAGAAGGACAGAGGGAGGCTGTAGAAAATGACATGAAACCTAGAAGGCTTGGGACTAGGAGGACAGACAAGGAGATGGGGACACCACAGTGGGGATGAGGGGTAGGCTGATTGGAGAAAAATAAGAGAAGGGGAGCAGAAGCTTGGGGAAGATGGATCCCCCCCAATACTTCCCAGGGAGGGAAGTAGGGAGGTAGGAAGGTGATGGGGGAGGGCTTAGGGCTTACTCACCAGGAGTCCAGAGAGACTGGCTGGGGGTGATAGTAGCTGGGCTCTGGTAAGGAATGGATTCCTCTGTCATGTAGGCAGCTGGGACGAAGATGGGTCGAGAGGTGGAGGATGCTCCCAGGCGCCTTGCCAACCACCAGTCTGAGTTGGTCTTTCGAAGCAGTAGGAACCTGTCCCCTTCAGCCAGAGACACCTGCTGGCCATCTGCTCCAGTATAAGTAAAGGCATGGAGGGCACAGAGCTGGGATCCCCGAGAAGGGCTTCGAGGCCCCAGCTCTAGGCTCCCCCAGGTACTTGGCCACCACCAGCTGGACAGCATTGTGGTCATCACTGCCACCTGTGGGAAAAAGGGGCATTGGAGATCCAGAAGGGAACGAGACTGGCTGTCTCCTGGCAGAGGGACATGGTTCTAAGAGCAGTGTTGGGGGGTTATAATAATAAGAACCCTTGGGTGAGAGGAGAGGGTAAAGCAGAGGGCCTCGTGGAGGTAAGAGATTGGTTTTGGGGGCTGAGAACTCCTGAGTGATGTGTCTGGTGAGGAAGTATAATATATAAGTAAGATGAGAGAGGATGTGGTCAGCAGGGCTGCATGGCCGGCAAGGCAGGAAATCAGAGAGGCAGCCTAGCTCGGTAATTTTTCCTCCAAGTACCTTGTGGGCCCCATCAGATGGTCCAGGAGCAGAAGGAGTTGGTCCTGAGTGGTGGTGGGAGTCTTGAGCTGGACACAGGAAGGAGACGAGCAGAAAGAATCAGGTTTGAGACAGCAACACAGGGAAAGGCCCAGCGCAGCAGCTCATGCCTGTAATCCTAGCACTCTGGGAGGTGGAGGCAGAAGGATCACTTGAGCTCAGGAGTTCTAGACCAGCCTGAGCAAGACCGAGACCCCGTCTCTACTAAAAAAAAACAAAACAAAACAAAAAACCACCTGGGCATTGTGGCCTGCGCCTGTGGTCCCAGCTACCAGGGAGGCTGAGGCAGAAGGATCACTTACGGCTCAGTAGTAGGAGGTTGCAGTGAGCTACAATGACACCACTGCACTCTACTCAGGGTGGCAAAGTGAGACTCTGTCTCAACAGCAACAATAACAACAATAACAACAAAAAAAAAAACAGGGAAACCGAGGACCCCTCCTCACAATCCCCAACCCCTTAAAAAAAAAAAAGAAAGAAAGAAACACAGGGAAAGAGACAGGAGGTAATGACAAAGATATGAAAAAGTTTGTGACTCTTTATTAAATTTGCACAAGCATCAATGTTTCCATTACCAATCACCTCAGACCTAACGCTGCATGCTTCCTGTGCAGACTCAGAGAGACACAGAGACAGAGAAACAGAGAGCCAGAGAAATAGTAAGACCAAATCGGAGAGAAAGACAAAAATGGGAGAAATACAGAGGGGTTCAGAGTTGAAATATCACCCCCCTCCTGATCCAGGACACGTTTTTGGAAGCTGAGAAGCCTTGATATCATGCCCTATGCATAAGCCTCTTGGGCAGAGGCTACTTCAGTATGCGGGTTCATTCATGCTCTTGACAAGAAATGATTGAGTACCTTCTGCGTGCAAAGGGCAGTGTTAGGCACTGGAGATAACAGAGTGGGATGAGCCCTCTTGGAGCTTAGAGAGACAGACCTTAACTAATGACACAGTAAACTTATTAACTACAATTCAATCAGGGACAAATAGTACAGGGCGCTATGATGGGTGGATGGGGGACTGATGTCTGCTTCTCCCTGGTGGAAGGTGGGTGCTGACCTCCCCTGGATTGCCAGCACTTTAAAACCCACACTTGTGCTTCCTCCTTATCTGACTACTCCTCTTTTTCCCTTCTCTCAGTTTCTCCACTGCACAATGTGAGGCTTTCTGTTTGGGTTTGGAAAGGTGGGATGGGGAGTGAGTGCCCCTCTCCCCCTCTCCTCCAGAGAGCCAGCTCTCTTTCCCTGCCCTGATCTGAGGGCTTGGTGGCCAGTACTGGGCTTCTGCCTCAGTGACCTTCCTCCTCAGTTTACTTCACTTTCAATACATGGAGAACTCCACCCTTCAATTCTTCCTTCTCACTTCCAAAATAGTGATTGACTTCATCCATTCACTCATTCATTCATCTGGTGTTTATTAAGTGCTGGAATCTCATCCTCCTCTGCCTTCTCTGAAGCTACCTCTCCTGTACTATAGCTTCTCCTCTTTATTGGCTCCTTCCCATTTACTTTTTTTTTTTTTTTTTTTTTGAGACAGAGTCTTGCTCTGTTGCCCCAGCTAGAGTGCAGTGGCGTCATAATAGCTCACTGCAACCTCAAACTCCTGGGCTCAAGTGATATTCCTGTTTCAGCCTACCAAGTAGCTGGGACTACAGACATGTGCCACCATGCTCAGAAAATTTTTCTATTTTTTGTAGAGAGGAATGTTGTTCTTGCTCAGGCTGGTTTTAAACCCCTGGCCTCAAGCGATCCTCCTGCCTTGGCTTCCCAGAGTGCTGGGATTACAGGCGTGAGCCACCAAGCCCAGCCTGATTCACTTTTACACATATCCAAGTCTCTCTCAACTTTAGATGAACCTCCCCTTACTGGGCTATCCATTTACCACCCTATGTCTCTCTCTCTCTCTCTCTCTCTCTCTCTCTCTCTCTCTCTCTCTTCCTTTTTACAGTCAAACTTCTTAAAAGAGTTGTTTACACACAGGGGTCTCCATTTTCTGTCCCCTGACTCTCTCACCTTTCCAAGGTCACTTCTCACCAGGGTCACCTCTGATCTTGCATGGACACTTTGTAGTCTTTATGTTGCTTGACATCTCAGGCAGGCAACACAATTGATCTGTCTCTCTTTCTAAAACACTGCTGGTGTCCCTCTTAACCTTTTTAGCAGCAGCTTCTTTCTGGCACGAGGAGTGACCTTCCTCTGCCCTTTCCTTAAACCACAGAAGCCTGTCTGAGATCCTGTGCCCTTTGCACTTTACACACCCTCCCTGGGTGGTCTTATTCTCTTCCCAGCTCAAATGACCTCCACATGCTGCTAAGTACCACATCTCCAGTCTAGATCTTTCTCTGGAGCCCCCATCTGATCCACTGTCCACTGAAAAATTCCACTTGGGTATTTTGCAGGTACCACAAACTCAGTATGGACTAAACTGAACTTGTCAGCTTTCCCCACAAACCTGTTCTTCTTCTAGTACCACTATTCAGTTAAATTTAAATTCAATAAATATCTTTTGAATGCTTACTACCATATGTGCCAAGCAGGAACTGTGTGCTAGGCATTGTCAAATTAAGATGGCAAATATGGTCTCTGCCCTCTCACAACAATTAAAATACAGTGTGATAATAAGCACTGTGATAGAGGAAGTACTATCATCTGTTGTAGCACACAGTGTGTCCTATTGCCCATGCCAGAAACCTAGCAGCCAACCTTAATTTCTCTTGTTTCCTAACCACCCATATTGACTCTATTGATTAATGAATATTGCAACTTATACTTTTCCAATCCATCTACTTTTTATCCCTACAACTACCACTCCTTCAGCCTAGATGATAAAATTTCCTAACTAGTTTCCTTGCATATAGTTCTCCTCCTCCCCTGCCATCCATTCCTGACACAACAGCCAGAGTGGCTTTTCTTTTTTCTTTCTTTTTTTTGAGACAGAGTCTCGCTCTGTTGCCTGGGCGAGTGCTGTGGCATCAGCCTAGCTCACAGCAACCTCAAGCTCCTGGGGTAAAGCCATCCTCCTGCCTCAGCCTCCCGAGTAGCTGGGACTACAGGCACGCACCACCACGCCCAGCTAATATTTTTCTATTTTTAGTAGAGATAGGGTCTCTTGAACTCCTGAGCTCAGGTGATCCTCCCACCTCAGCCTCCCAGAGTGCTAGGATTACAGGCATGAGCTACTCTGCCCGTCTCAGAATGACCTTTCTAAAACACAAATATGCCCTGCCACTCCTCTGACTTAAACTTATCAAAGCTTCTCATTGACCTCATAGTAAAGTCCAAATTTTACAATGTGATTTACAGAAACTTCCCCTCTCTAGTCTAGCCTTTGCACGCTCCCTGCCACAAACTTCACACTGCGGCCTTACACTAATTCCTCACATTCTTAAAGTGCATTGAGATTTCTGATCCTTTGCATGTGTTGTTTCCTCTACCTAAAACACTTGCCTTCTCTACTCCCTCCAGTCTTTACTTAGCTAAATCTTACTCATCACTGAGATCTCAGCTGAAAGGTCACTTGCACAAGAAGTCCTCTCTTTACCCTTTAGAGAGGCCCTAACTAGGAGCTCCGAATGGCAAGCTTTAGCTACCCCATCATAACTGTGAACTAAAATAAAATCTTAAGCTGCCCCAGCTGACTGAATGGATTCCCTTTTGGCCAAGGGGACCCCAGAAATACCCTAAAGCTGAGTTGCTGGCCATGAGAAGGGAGGTCAGACATGCCTCCTCATGCCCCTCCCCCTCTTCTTGGAGATATCCTTTGTAACTCATTAATAGGCCTAAGGCTATACAAGATAAAGCTTATACCATACCTGCAGGTCATCAATTTATTTAACAGATCATTTGAGTCTGGGCATATGTCAGGCATATGTCCAGTGGCTTGTCTCTGATTAACGGACTTCTTTATCTTAAGTTAAAACATTCCAAGTTTCAGACAAAGCTTCATTTCTTTTTTTTGAGACAGAGTCTTGCTCTGTTGCCTGGGCTAGAGTGCCGTGGCCTCAGCCTAGCTCACAGCAACCTCAAACTCCTGGGCTGTGAGCGATCCTCCTGCCTCAGCCTCCTGAGTAGCTGGGACTACAGGCATGCGCCTCACACCCAGCTAATTTTTTCTATTTTTAGTTGTCTGGCTAATTTCTTTTTATTTTTAGTTGAGACAGGGTCTCGCTTTTGCTCAGGCTGGTCTCAAACTCCTGACCTCAAGCAATCCTCCTGCCTCAGCCTCCCAGAGTGCTAGGATTATAGGTGTGAGTCGCCATGCTTGGCTAGAAAGCTTCATTTCTTTAACCAATTACGAATCAAAGGCTCTTTTAACCCACCTATAACCTGTAATGCCCCACTTTGACATGTCCTGCCTTTTCAGGCCAAACCAATGTACATCTTCCATGTATTGATTTATGACTTTATGTTTAATTCCTATCTCCCTGAAATGTATAAAACCAAACCGTGACTTAACCACAGCAGGACCACTTGCTCAAGTCTTCTTTGGCATGGCTCTCCCAGCCATGTTTGAACATATTTGGCTCAGAATAAACCTCTTTAAATTGTTTTACAGAGTTTGGATCTTTTTCCATTGATATAACTTTTATCACACTTTAAAGATTATTTGATTTTCTGACTTCCAGGAAGTCTGTGAGTGCTGCCAAAGTAGAAGCCCATATCTGTTTTGTTGATACGGTACTTTTAATGCCTTGTACAATTCCTGGCACAAAGTAACCTCTCTTTGCCTCTATTCCCTCAATGGTAAAATGGGAATGAGAGAATTACCTCATTTTTTTTAAATGTAACAATAGCCATTTCATTATAGCTCACAATTTTATGGGGCAGAAATTGGGGTAGGGCTCAGCTGGGTGATTCTTCTGTCTCATGTGGCCTTGACCCAACAAGGGTCACTTGGTGGTATTCAGTGGGCAGGTGGGCTGGTCTGGAAGGCTTTCCCTCACATGTTTGGCACCTGGGTGGGGATAAATGGAATGCTGGGATCAACTGGAGCTGTCAGCCAGAATGTCTACATGACCTCTCCCGCATGGCAGTCTCAGTGTAGTAGGACTTCATTCATGGCAGCTCAGGGCTACCAATGTTCC